TGCAAAAACTGGGGCCCCCCCACACTCAGAGTAATCAGCCGCCAATCGCCATAATGGACTAATTGATCGATGTATTGAGATAATCACGCCATGCATAAAATAAAGACATACGGTGAGAGAGGGTCACCCTATCGGATGCCCCGCGAGGCGATGAACTCCTTCGTGGCTGCACCGTTCCAGAGGAGCTGCATGGAGCAAGAGGGTTTCTTCAACGAACCCCTAGCTAAGCCTATCATAAGCCTTCTCCAGATCCACTTTAATTTCCATGCAACCTATTTTGCCCTTCTTACACTTCATCGAGTGAATAACCTCCTGGGCTATGATAATATTATCCGAGATACTCCGGTCATCAACAAAACTTGTTTGCGTTTTACTAATTAGTCGAGACATAATTTTCTTGAGTTTGTTAGCAATGAAATTGGTGATAATTTTATACGAGACATTGAGCAGACTTATGGGTCAGAAGTCTTTTATAGACTTGGAACTATCCACTTTAGGAATAGGGGTAATCAAGGTTTTATTCTGGCCAAGCTCCAACTCGCCACCTTGAAAGATCCCAGTAGCCATGGTACAGATCGAGTCGCTAATAACGTCCCAATAGTGTTGAAAGAAGGCAACATGCAGACTATCTGACTCAGGCACCTTGAGGGGTTTCATGTTAAAAAAGGCCCCTCGGATCTCCTCCCTAGTGACGGGCCTACTCAGAACGGTGATACTATTGGAGCTGAGAATGGGGAACCTACATCGAATAGTGAACATAGGCCTATCAGGAGCCTCCTCGCAATATAAGTGCTAGGAGAATTCACTGGCCATCTGGCTGAGTCGACTCTCCTCCGAGATCCAATTCTCCATCTTGTCCTGGAGTATAAGAATCCTGCTGCCTTGTCGCCTAGCCATCGTTTGCGCATGGTAATAGGCAGTGTTCTTGTCCCCTAGAGAGATGAACTCACACCTTGACTTCTGTATCTAATAGATTTCTTTTTATAAGAGGAGCACTTCGAGCTCATGATGAAGAGACGCCTCAAGCTTACTCAGATACTCAGAGGAGGAAGATTCAAGAGCCTTCTGAACTCTATTGATACGAGCCATAAGTTGCCTCTTCTTACGAAATATATTATCAAACACCATAGTGTTCCAAGTCTTAGCGAGGTGAAAGAAGCTGTCCATAATGGCTTGGAATGAAACGCCACCTTCCCGTCTTCTTCGAACAAAATTAGGAAACTCGAGATGGGTAAACCAAGCGGCAAGGAAGCAAAAAGGCAATGAGTTCGATGTATGGTGCGTCCTAGAACAGATGAGAAGAGGTCTATGATCAGATTGGATCCTAGGAAGGTGTTGTACGAAGGAGTCTGAAAACTTGTCAAGCCATGAGGAATTAACGAAGGGTCGATCTAGGCATTGAAGTAGAGTTCCCCGTTGCCAAGTGAACTTAGGTCCCACAAAGTCGAGTTGAGAGAGGCCATTGTGATTGATAAACTGGGAGAAGAGAGGGCACCCACCACTACCACTAATGGCTCTGCCTTATCTATCAAATCCCTCAATAATCGCATTGAAGTCCCTAGTAAGTAGCCTCGGTTTCTGGATTGTACTACTGAGCTGAGAGAGATGAGACTATGGGTAGCAATGCTTATCTGATGGGAACTCCCATACACAGCAATAAACAGGACACTTGACTTACTACCATTGTAATGAATCTGGGTATGGATAAACTGGGCATTATTCACCAGGATCTCCACCTGAACTTGATCATTCCAAAAAAGCTAAATACCCCAGCGAAGCCATGGGCTTCCACCCTGAGAGGAATTCAAACTAAGAGAATGATGTGATCTGCTTTCTCCCCTGAGATGTGTGGCTACATCAAAGTAAGTATCAATGATTTATGTTGCCAAACAAACATTTGAAGAATGCGGCTGACTTTAGGATTAGCCACACCTTGACAATTCCAAGTAAGAATTCTTAAATCCATAAAAAACTTAACAAAAAAGATAAAACCCTAACCCAAAAAAAAATCAACCGTCAACAGTAGCATGGCTGGCCTCTATTTTGGTCACCGTCAGACTGTCGACCACGCTCGGTCTTGCGCGCGCATAACCCAGGAGCTCTGCCGCCGAAAACATCGTTGTGTCCAAGACTTCCTCGCGCTGCTTCTTTACCTTATGGTCATAGTGCGATGTTTTGTTCACTTGGATGCCTGAGCACCGTCGATCTGAGGGCCAGGCCATCATCTAGGTGAGGGAGTTTGACGAAGGAAAGTCGACCTCCCCGATTTTGGCCAGGTCGACTTGGGAAGTCATCGCACCTCTGCATAGCCGTGTGCTTGGTCGGTTAAGAAAGGTTGGACCTTGATAGATTGAGGCCGCCGAGTCTGGACTGACTGGGAGGCCCATATTCTCCTCACTAGGCCTACTCGCAACGGGCCGCTTAATCCCAAACGCTCTAGTTATTACTGGGCCCGAGCCTTCAGGCATGTTACGAGGGCCCTATCTATATCAAGAAACTCAACCTCCCTCGACCTTACCTTTTTGTATTTTCTTCTACATATTTAAACTGTGTTCCTCATCTACTACCCTGTCACCGAGATTGCCTAAATTTCCTCTCCTCTCTTCATCAGCATTAACACCCCCCAAGCATAATCCCTCAAATTTCTCATGCAAATAAGCATTAATATTATCTTCTTTTCCAATCCCTGCAATCAACTCAAAGGGGGATCCTGACCCATTACGGCTGGCAAATCCAGGGCCATTCTTTTTCACAGAGTCATTTCCTTTTTTATCGCTCCTCCGTCCCTGCCTCGTCACCTGCATCCAAGGTTCGAATTTTTCTCCTTCTGTCGTTGGCTGGGGCGGCACAGACTGATTCCTTCCTTCTCCTTAAGTGGCTTCGTCAGTCGGGGCTTCTGTGACTTTCCTCAGGCAGTGTTCTTGGAGGTGGCTGTAACAGTCGCACTCAAAATAAATCGTTGGAAGCCCTTTATATTCCACCCGTTGAAGGTGCCCCTCTATTCGGATTTTAGAAACCAAAGGCTTGGTCAGGTCCACCGAGATGGTTAGACGTGCAAACTTCCCCCTCTCCATCGACTCTGTGTTATAATCAATCTTCACCACCAAACTAACAGTCCTGGCAATGGCTCTCAATACCTCTTTGTGGTAATACTGGATAAGCATCCTCGGAAAGTGGACCCAGGCAACCACCGAAGTGAGACGGTCATCATCGACTGAGAACGAGGTCGTCCATGGCTGAACTGTCAAATAGTGCCCATAAATGACCCAAGGGCCCCTGGTCAAGACATGTGAGTAATTGTTGGGATTAGTAAATTTTGCTAGATAGAAATTATTCTCAAGATCAACTAGTTGAAATGTTCCTGTAGGCCGCCAGAGGCTCTAAAGGCAGTTGAGGAGAGGCTGGTTGCCGATGGCTTTGCCCAACAGACGGACGACCGTCGAGTTCCTCATGGATTGAGCCAAGTAATTCTGGACCCCATCCGAGAATGCCACTGTCTGATATTCCCCATCTGAAGCCAATATCACATCCTCTTTTCTAATTTCAAAGTCGACAACCTTACTCGCCACTAGTTTTGCATTAGTAAATTTGTCTTTGAAGGACACCCAATTGCTTTCCTAGTGCCTGTAAAGTCCCCTGCTTTGCTCCCCATCCTCTGATTCTGTCAAATCCATGTCACTAGCCTCTTCCACATTCTTGTCTAAGGTTGTGGCAAATGTCCTCCTCTGTCGATATTAGCTAGTCGGGACGTTCCCTTATTCTCACCTTCTTGGTCGAGCGATCATCGTCCACGCACAGCAGTGCCGTGACTTTGTCAAGCAGTGAAAAGTCGTTCAGAGAGAGTATTTTTTTCCTTTTTAGATTTTATTTAAAATGATTTAAGTTAGTGTAGAATTGAATTATTTCAATTTTATTACTGTATGTGAGAGGTTGGAATAAAGTTGTAATAAGATGTAACTAATATTATGTCAAATTAATATAACTTGTATCATTATTACTACATTTATTGAAAATTATATTATAAAATTTATTTACCAACATGGCCTGGTAAAGTTATAAATATGTACAATACTTTAAATTTTAAATTTATGTTTCTAGTTTTAAAAATGAATTTTAACTAATATTTATGGATATTAATAACTTAAACATCCATATATTTATATTACAGATAATTATTATAAACTTATAAATTATAGAACACTTAAGAGAATATATAAGACTAGTTATTTTCACATAATAATCATTTTTTCTGACTACTTTTTTTTTTAAAGAAAGAAAAATTTATCTTGTTCTTAGAATTCAAGTAAAATATTGTAAGTTTATATTTATTTACCTTGATATATATATTTTATTAGGTTTTTTTTTTGTTCTAATTATTTAAGATCGTTATATTTTAGGGTTCTAAATAAATACATATTTTTGTTAAAAGACTAGAGATTTATAAATATTAATTTGTAGAAGAATATTTTATAATTAATTTCTAACTATTTGTGCTAGTTAAAAGTTCAAATTATATATACAAAGAGTATTTTTATCGTTAATTTTAATATCTTTGTAAAAAGACCAAAGATTCTTTGAGTATGTATTTGGCTGAAAAGAAAAAGAAAATGTATAGGAAGAAGAACTTTATTACCATGGTCCAAACTCCAAATCCCGAATATTGTTCTTAAAAAAACAGCATATATATAATTAGAATCATTTCGCTGCCGACCTAGGCCTAAATTTCAACCACTCAAACTGGTATTCCAATGAAACTGGGCCTCATACTTCGATCCCAATGGAATAAACTCATCTCTCTCTCATATATATATATACGTATATATATACTTTGATACCTTCCTTTTTTTTAAAGTAACTAGCTTCTTTATCAACCTTGTTACTTTCTTTCATTTTCTCTTTGATCAATTTGATTTTTCACTGTACGTTATAATATTCCTCGAGTGATGTCAATGCAATGAATAACTACTATATGTTGTTTATAAAACTATATATAGAATTTCCTGCTATATATCGTTAATTAGGTGTTTTCATACGATAGAGAAAGATAATTAAAAAGAAAAAAAAAATCCTTGCATCCATTGACAATGTCTTCAGTCTCCAAACCCCATCACGAGGCGTGCGATACCATGTCCCTGAATCTGGATCAGCTCTGGAAAGAGCAAGTAAGCTGCATGCATGCATGTGCTTAACTTTGTTGCATGTACATATATATATTTGTTCTTGAAAACTTCATTGACGATGATATATATTTTGCATGTGTTTTAATTTTTTTTGAAAGGGAGATGGTAAGATTAGAGTCTGCACGTTAACACCCAAGTATCTTAACATTGTATGGGGCAACGACGATCGCTATTGGAAGATACCAAAAGATGATAAAGGGTATATATATATTACAATCCAAATTATCAGTTTAATTTAAATCATATATGCGTAGACATTATAACATATATATATATACACACACACTTAACAGGAAGGAGCTTGAAGGTCTAGCGGAGCTGGTGCAGGTGTCATGGTTGGAGGTAACAGGTGTGGTTCCGTTACCCGAGGTGACGGTGGGAAAGAAATACAAAGTGAGGTTTCAAGTGTCTCTAATGGCAAAACACGCAACCAGCTGGGGAAGTTGTCCGGTTTTTCTGATGGCAAAGGTGGGGAAAAAAGGAAAGTATAGCTGGAAAAGAATCAAGTCTTTAAATTTAAGATCAAGTGGAGATGATGAAGTTCCTTTCCTAATTCCTGACAAGGATGATGGAGAACTTATAGTTACAGTAACTTCAGGATCAGCTGATAATAACCTTCTGTATTTTGGGTTGTACGAAGTGTGGAGTGGAAAGTTGAAGAAAGGTCTCAAAATTCATCATGTTTGCATATCAGAATGTTAATTAGACTATAAATAGTAATTTAAACTTTTTGGGTAATTAATTCAATCAATTATTACCCGAACTAGATATATATATATATCTATCATGTATTGATTATTTTTATAATTTCATAACGCTCTACTTGGTTATATAATATAATTAATTATCAACCGTATTAGTAATTGATTTATGTTTTATTCTACGTTTGTTTGTGTGTTATAACATAGATTCATATGTCATACATAAACCAAATTTGTATTTGTTTTAACCATCATCAATTGCTTCATACCAAAAGTAATAGACCAAGTTAGCAGATCCATATATAAAACCTATTTCAATAGTGGATATGATAAATCTCTCCAGCCATAATATCAACTAAATGCCATTTTAAGGAGAACATCTATACATATATATATATATATATATATATATATATATAGAAGGCAACATAGTCAACATGAGCAGATGTTAATATTCTAATGTTTGACAATTGCTTAGAATTAATGATTTTTAGATTTGGAATTAATTTGGACAAGGAAAAAAATTATATTAACAATGAAGCTTGGATGACTAAGTGGGGTTTGATACATTCCAAAATATCAAGTTACATGACCATTTATTTATAGCCACAATTGCTGCCAAAATATGTATAAAAATTCTCTTTAAACTAGCTTACGCATATATCTTATGATACTTCAATTTTTATATCTAAAAAATGTATCATTATTTAGCTGTATATAGAATAACTCAAAATAAACTATTGATATTGATACTTGATTTTGAGTTTTTAAGAACTAGTAACTTTAGTCTAAAAAGTTATTCAATCTTTTGACAATATGGCTTTACAAATAGAATCAAGTAAATATCAACTCGATAACTTTAATTAGAGTGATTTTGAATTTTGGATTATAATTTTTGATTAGTTATTAAAAAGATACGTGATTATTAAACTTTATGTAAAAATTATTAGATCAATAGTACATGAATTTGTATATCACGTGTCGAATTCTACCTATTCAAAAAAATTTCATAATTTCCTCAACAATTGACATATACTTGCCTAATTTCACTCTAAATTCTTCTTGTTACATAACATACGGGATTAAATGATCGGCATCTATTATTGTAATATACCTTAGCGATAAAAGTATTATTAATTTTTACTTTTTGGATAACGTCAAAATTATTTTAAACATATAAAAATTTATACACCATGTACGTACGAGAGTACACAGGTAAGAGGAAATTACACAATCAACTTTCCTTCACCGTTCCAGCGTCCGCATCCACCAGTCCCTTGTTGTGTAGCACACCATTTGTACTTGTGGCATGCATGACTCTTAGTCAGCACCCACCGAACAAGATCCCATTAGCCCGCTTGATAGCTTTCTTGACTTCTTTCCTAATTCTATATATCTCGAAATTAAATAAATCATATGTGTTGTTTCTTCGTTTCTAAATAGATATATCCGTAGTTGTAAACAAGAAAAATAGCTAACATCAATGTTGTCCACAAAGTTAAGAACAAAATTTTCCTCCATTATTTGATTATATTAATGTTTTCTCATGAACCTTCTTCCTTCCATTTAAAGATTAAACACATCTTGGTTAATTGATGTCTATAGAATCGCTCGCTAATCTTTGTCTTTCAACTTGCACAGGACTATCTCAATATTCTTCTCCCGCAACTGTCGTTTATGTTGGCACTCACTTAAACCCCATCTAAAATTAAGTGTCTAAACGTGCTTTTCTTTTTGATAATAATCAAAAGCAGTAAATAACTGTATAAATGTCCTTTTGTTGTGGACTCAGATAAAACTTTCTTAATTATACTGCTTCATATGATGCGTATATCGTTTGCAATATAATCTTCCTCTTATTTAGTAAAAATGGTATTATCTTTTTGTTTCTTTGTAGCTACATTACTAGTTTTTAGCTTATGTAAAATAGATAATTTAATCTACCGAATCACCACTTGTGTAATTAACAAGCTTATTTTCTTTTACTTAATTTGTTTTCATGTTCTTCATTCTCTGCAAATAATGTAAAATTCTTTTTGCTAATGCACAGTGTATCTTGCTCGAACTCTTATATAAATATTTGAGATATTAAATTGTTGTGCAAATGTTTATTATTAACAAAGTTGGATAATTTTGAACCAATTGTTAAAGAATATTTATATTACAAGATTGAGATATATATATATATATATATATATATTGCAAATATTCTTCGTGCGTTGTCAACTGATGTTACTAAATGAAGAATCAGATAGCGTTCTTTTCATTAAATTTCTAAGCATCAATTCTTCATCTTTAGTTACAATTTTGCTTTCAATTTTTACTTTTGCTTTTGATCGTGGGATTGAAATTTGATGCATCTTATTATCTCCTTTTCTTCTTTTTTTTTTTTTTTTTTTATCTTGACCAACTTTAATGATTCTAAAATGTATCTATATATATATATATATATATACATGTGTGTGTGTGTGGATATATATATGTAAGCCTCACTCCAATAGCGTACTGTATGACCAAAAATTAAAAAAGTATATAAATATTAAAGCGAGAAAAACGAAAAGAAATCTGCTTCAGAAGTAACATACTCTTGATGTCTAATCACGAGCCAGGTCCTGATTTTATTTCCCGGACGGTAAGCTTAACTCTTATGAACCGTCTCTAATAATTTTGTAAAATATTTTATTAAATTTAGAATAGAAAATATAATATACGTTGATACATGTACACAATATTAATTTCCAGACTAAAATTTCCACGTCTATTAAATAGGAAGATAAGAAGACTTGCATATTTAAGCCAAGAGGCTTAAACATCATATGAGGCAGAGACTTACGGTACTGGATCGTACCTAATTATGAGCCGTAAGATTATCAATTGTTTACTCGGATTTTTTTGTAAACTTAGCATACGTAATACTGATTATCAATCTGATTGTTAAAGATTCTAAAATGTTCAGACATGATCCAAGATCAATTCTGAGAACTTTACTCTCTAGACCTCTAAATCTATACCATGAAAGTACGTTTCATCTCCCTCCCCCCCCCCGCTTAAATTTAGTCAATCCATGTGACAATATCGTTGGTTGGTTCCGAAAAGCAATTGCAGGTGCGGCTGCAGAGCTAAAGAAAGTTTCATGGCTCGAAAGTAAGGGGAAGCATAGAGTGGGTGTGGGGTGGTGGGAAAACAAGTACGGAATAGGCTTCACGATATCGTTGACTGCAGATGCTAGTGGGTTAGGAAAGAGCTCCATTGTTTCTAATGGCAAAAGTTGGGAGCAAAGGAAGAGATTTGTGGAGAAATAAGTCTGTGGAGGACAAAATGGCGAAGTCCCTTTCATTGTTCTCAGACACCCTCATCATCACTGT